AGTTAAATTCAAAATAGGTATTGTTGGACTTAGAAAACAAAAATAAATGCTTAAAAATACAATTTATACTTTTTACCAATATACATGTGCAGGGTGTCCCAGAACTCAACCAACATGTTTGTCTTTATGCCTGTTCGTCACGTTTTTTTTTTGATTTTATGAAATAAACATTATAAGAACCTATTTCTTCAAACTTTAGTATTTTAATTTTAATCATCGGTAAACATAACAATATAGAAATTCCACATTGCCCAATATCTAATTTGTGATATTTTTATCATTTCCTACATTTTCTATCAACATGCAAAGGGTACCTGCATACACTTGCATTATGCACAATTGTGCAACATGGATTCTAATTGGAAAAATAGATGATTCTTGAACAACATATATATATATATATATATATATATATATATATGTATATGTATATGTATATATATTATTATGTATGTATATTATTATGTATATATACAGTCGAACAAGTTAATCTAGTGATCTTTAAGATAATATGTGAGTAATATTATGTTATGTAACTACTTAGTTACTTTTCATATAAGAACGCAACATAAGTAAATGTAGGCATAAGATTGTTTCACAGATGATGAGATTGTAGAGGAGATATGTGCAAAATTTATTACTTTTTGCACCTTTATGTACTGTCTGACTTCATAACCGTCTGTTTGTAATAGTGAGTTTCCCCTAAAACTCACTAAAAATGAATAAATAAAAATATTTATTTATAATATACGTTTCGACACGGATTGTGTGTATTGTTCGCAATATATTTACAAGAGAATGAACCAACACATTTGCAATTCGAAAAATAAAAATCAGTTTAAGGCAATGTTTTCGGAACATATCATTAGTTTAAACCACACTTTCAATACAAAAATCCTATTATTTTACATAAGGAAAAGAATGTTGACCTCAGAAAATTTGCTGAATCTGTATTTATTTTTTAGACGGAATTTTGCTTTTCTAGCTTATCATAATATTATCAATTTTTTCAAAAATAATTTTCGAAATTTTTGACTATTGTATTTCATAATCTATTTGATTTTATGTTTTATTTTTCAAAATTGTATTTCTTTTCGTCATATGCGTTTGATTTGCTCAGAACTTGCATTACACTAATTTTCAGTTTTAAAATTAAAAACAAAACATGTTTTCACTTAATATATTTATTTTCTATATTTATTTTGCATGTAATGTATGTTTGGTTTATTATCTATATGTAATTATCAAAAATATGTTTTTCCTGGTGTGGTATGTATATCTTTTATTATTTAATTATTTTAAATAAAAATTTCTATTTATTTTTTTGAACTTTGTAAATATTCTTTTAGATGGTGATTAACAAAAGTTGCCGAATGATGGCACAGAATTCGTATCGAAACGTATATTATAAATAAATATTTTTATTTATTTGTTTTCTTTTATTTCGACGATTGGCTGAAAATCAATATTTAAGATATGTCTCGACGTCGAACAAAAAAATCTAATTTTACATATATATATAAATATTGATAAGAAATGATATTTTTTAAGGAAAATGTGGAAACTGGTAGTAGAAGATAATTATTAATATATATATATATATATATATATATATATATATTGTGTAATTATCTTCAACTACCAGTTTCCACATTTTCCTTAAAAAATCTCATTTCTTAAGAATATTTATGCAATAATAATCCTCATATTATTTTTTCCCTTCGATATCAATTAATACGAACCATATGAGTTATAAACAAGTTTTTGTTTAAACAAATAAGGAAAAAAGAAATTTGTTGTGTAAATATATGATTGAGTTCGAGTTGTATATGGGATTTAATAAAGTTCTGTAATAAATTAAACTGCTGGCTTTATATGGTAATAGAGAGTGTGTTTTTTGTTTGAATAAAAGTGTATATATATATATATATATATATATATATATATATATATATAGGTATGTATATATAAGAAAATGTTGTTCAAGAATCATCTATCTGCAATTTTATTATTCATCGGTTTCAACGAGCTCTTCAGGACGTTCCGTTTGTACTACAGCTTTGAAATTTGGATACGATATACTTCAATGTATGTACTAAATACAAAAAATACTAAAACTTACAATTTTTGCATGTTATTTACAATTTTCTTAACAACGTACATCAAAATCTAACAATTTGTCATTATTGTAGTATATCGTTTTTCAACGAGCTTTTCAGGACGTCCCGTTTGTACTACAGCTTTGAAATTTAAATATGATATAGTTTGATGTATATACTAAATACAGAAAGTACTTAAGTTTATAAGTTTTTCAGAAAAATCACAAGTTATTTAAGATTTTCTGAGTAACATGTACAGACTGCTTTTAGCAAACAAATGCATAAAATATATTTTTTTAGTACAATTTTTAATTGTACAATTTATTTATATTTTATGAACCGATATTTCGACCTTAGATACACTAGTTTTATATATTTATTATCACAATCCATTATTTTTAAAAACAACAACAGAAAAATAGCGTTCGAGTTTATTTTCGTATCGCATTCGCATAATCATCATTGTATTATAATAATTATTGTTAAAATAAAAAGTTCCATTTCAGTGTGTTCATCAGCGTGAAAAATATACAATTAAATCATACTTTGAACATTATTAATAATAATAAAAAATAATAAAAGAAAAAAACACAAACAACGCGAAACGAATTTAATTACATCATATTCGCCTCAAGCTGAGTCACCGGGAAAAAACACTAAATGTAATGAGTAGACATGTTTTGGATGCGATTTTAAAATATATAGAGTTGTTGTAGAATGTTATGATGTTAGAAAATGTTATTCATAATTTGATTCTGAGTAAATTTGTTGAATATTTTATTAATATTGGACAAACCGTTTAAAAGTTATGAGCGATTTAATAAAAAAAAATGCGCGGGAGGATCAAGGATATTCAAGGTCGTAGGCCTAAGCTTATAAAATTGGCAAAGTGTAAAAATGCAATTTTATAAAAACTATTGCAGATATTGTGGTGATTCAAAAAGTTGTTCTAAGAACATTTCTAATTTGCCATCGAATAGTAATACTCTCGATTTTCAATTTTCACTAATTCATCAAGAATGTATATTATGCATAAATAAATATTCCGGACTTGAAGAAATAGTTAACAATGCAAGTCGATAGTATGTATGTTTATATATAATTTATATATTGTCAAAGTTTTTTTTCCATTGCCAGTTGTATATTTGATACTTTCTATATGAGTATGCAAATTAATGTTGCATTCTCAGTGAACGAGTTGAAACAACAAATCGTTATTATCACAGTTCGATGGCAAATTAAAAATGTTATATAAGTAACTTTTTGAATTTCAAAATATGTCAAAGCGTTCTCGAGATATTGCATTTTAAACATTTCGATTTTGCAGGAACCATATTGAATTTTGCACCTTATAAAATTTGCAAATTGTAAAAATGCAATATTGTAAAAACTATTGCAGATATTCTAGTAATTTAAAAAGTTGTTCTAAAAGCATTTTTAATTTGCCATCGAATAGTAATACTGTCGATTTCAAATTTTTACTTGTACATCAAGAATGTATATTATACATAAATAAATCTTCAGGATTTGAAGAAATAGTTAACAATGCAAGTCGATAGTATGTTTCTTTATAGTTAATTAATATATTTTCAAAGTTATTTTTTCATTACCGATTGTATATTTGATACTTTCTCTATGAGTATGCAAATTTAAGTTGCCTTCTTAGTGAACAAGTTAAAGCAACAAATCGGCTTTATAACAGTTCGATGGCAAATTGAAAGTATTATATAACCAACTTTTTGAATTTCCGAAATATCTCAAAGCGTTCTCGAGATATTGCATTTTTAAACATTTCAATTTCGCAGGATCCATATTGATTTTTCACAACTTATAAAATTTGCAAAGGGTAAAAATGCAATTTTATAAAAACTATTGCAGATATTTTGGTGATTCAAAAAGTTGTTCTTATAACATTTTTAATTTGCCACCGAATAGTAATACTCTTGATTAAGAATATACTTGTTTTTATTACCGATTGTTTTAATGTTTTCTATATGAGTATGCAAATTTAAGTTGTATTCGATGGCAAATTAAAAATGCTTTTAGAACAACTTTTTAAATTACTAGAATATCTGCAATAGTTTTTACAAAATTGCATTTTTACACTTTGCAAATTTTATAAGTTGTAAAAATCAATATGGATCCTGTGAAATAGAAATGTTTAAAAATGCAATATCTCGAGAACGCTTTGAGATATTTTAGAAATTCAAAAAGTCCCTTATATAATACTTTCAATTTGCCATCGAACTGTGATAATCACGATTTGTTGTTTTAACTCGTTCACTAAGAATGTAATACTTACTTAATGTACTCTTATAGAAAACATCAAATATCACAATTTGTAGTAATAAATTAACCATAAAAATATATCAAATAACTATATATATTACTATCAACTTGCATTGTTAACTATTTATTCAAATCCTGAAGATTTATTTATGCATAATGTATATTCTTGGTGAATTAGTAAAAATTGGAAATCCAGAGTATTATTATTCGATGGCAAATTAAAAATGTTTCTAGAACAACTTTTTGAATCACCAAAATATCTGCAATAGTTTTTATAAAATTGCAATTTACACTTTGCCAATTTTATAAATTTGTATGCATTCTGCGTATGACCTTGAAAATCCTTTCTTTTTAAATAATTAAAAATTCAATAACTTGAGAATTCCTGAAGATAATTTTATGATTCAAAAAGTCAAATAGCATTTTAAATTTGCCATCGAACTGTCGTAGTCTCGATTTGCTGTTTTAACTCGTTCACTGAGAATGCACCTTAAATATGCACTCTCACACCAAATAAAGTGCTCGACGATAAAAATATTTCTAACAATTTTTTTGTTTATGTTTATTATTGTTTATGTATTTTTATATAATAATTTTTATTTCCTTCCCCAGGTGTTCCTATGCCTGACAATTTCCCAAATATCAGCCATCTACGTACCATTTGGAACCAAAACGAATTTCGCTCCAAATAGTTTATCTTCCAACGATGACTATTTGTCACAAGAAAAAATCATCACACGAATTTATACTACAAAAAGATCTACGTGAATCCTTATTATTTGGTTCCGTACCCAAATTTCAATCCTTTGGACCAAAATTTTGGAAAAAATGAGGAAAATTTCGAGAGGAGAGCTGATGAAGTTGACCAGGATTATGAGGAGCTGGAGTTTGGGAAAAAGACGAATATTGATAGGTGAGATGATGATAATATATTATGTTATAAATGATAATATATAAATGATAATATATATTAAGTTGTCAAATATCTCCCTTCCGCTTTTTTGCTATTGGTTTATAAGCAATTATATAGCAAAAAAGCGGAAGGGAGATATTTGACAACCTAATATGTTGTAAATTTTATCTAGTTTCACTCTATCTAACAAAAAGGATGTGATTCCATATGAAATTTTTGAGTTAATTGACAAAAACCAGAAAAATGTCTCAAATTTTCTATTTATTGCTAAAGAATGAAACATCAAAGAATTCAAAGTCGTTTAATTCCAAACTTTTATATCGGAGTGCATAAAAGTGTTCCCAAGTAAATGTAGTAAATTTTATCGGTAATGAAAAAATAACCTTAACAATATATTAATTAACTATAAAGATACATACTATCAACTTGCATTGTTAACTATTTCTTCAATTCCTGAATATTTATTTAAACATAATGTACATTCTTGATGAATTAGTAAAAATTAGTGAAATCAGGAGTATTACTATTCAAATGGCAAATTAAAAAATTAAAATGCTTCGAGAACAACTTTTTGAATCACCAAAATATTTGCAACAGTTTTTACAAAATTGCATTTTTACACTTTGCAAATTTTATAAGTTGTAAAAATCAATATGGATCATGCGAAATCGAAATGTTTAAAAATGCAATATCTCGAGAACGCTTTGAGATATTTAAGAAATTTAAAAGTCGTTCATATAATACTTTAAATTGCCATCGAACTGTGTTAATCACGATTTGTTGTTTTAACTCGTTCACTAAAATGCACATTAATTTGCATACTCATATAGGAAACATTAAATAACATGATAGGAAATAAAAAAAACTAGTTTCAACAATACACTAATTGACTATAGATATGCTATACAACTTGTATTGTTAACTATTTTTCCAAATCCTGAAGATTTATTTAGGAATAATGTACATTCATGATGAACAAGTGAAAATTGGAAATCAAGACTATAACTATCCGACGGCAAATTAAAAATGTTTCTAAAACAACTTTTTGAATTACCAAAATATCTGCAATAGTTTTTATAAAATTGCATTTTTATACTTTGCAATTTTTATAAGTTGTAAAAATCAATATGGATCCTGCGAAATCGAAATATTTAAAAATGCAATATCTCGAGAACGCTTTGAGATATTTTAGAAATTCAACAAGTTGTTTATAAAACATTTTTAATTTGCCATCGAACTGTGTTAATCATGATTTGTTGTTTTTAACTCTTTCACTAAGAATGCAACATTAATTTGCATACTCATATAGGAAACATCAAATTTCACAATCTGTAGTAATAAATCAACTATAAAAATATGTTAAATAACAATATATATATACTATCAACTTGCATTGTTAACTATTACACCAAATTCTGAAGATTTATTTATGTATAATGTACATTTTCCATAAACAAGTAAAAATTGGAAATTACTATTCGATGGCAAATTAAAAATGTTTCTAGAACAACTTTTTGAATTACCAAAATATCTGCAATAGTTTTTACAAAATTGCATTTTTACACTTTGCAAATTTTATAAGTTTCGCGTATGACCTTAATTTTAAATCCTTTCTCATATATGTGTGTGTCCGTTGTGAGTAATTCGGTTTCAGAAGACTTGATTTCTATAATCAAAAGTGTCGGCAAAGGTTATAAATATTATATCACCATCGTAAATCAAAGGTTAAACATCGAAATAATGACTTTACTGCTTTTCACACCACTCTCGAATGATAATTATATATTTTTAACATCGACAGGAATTTATATGAATTGCAAAAGATAATTATGTGAAAATTATTAGGAAAAAATGGTATTAGAAAATATATAACATGGGTAATGAGTAGTACACTGATTGTGAGAGTTTTTTATGTAAAACATATAAATTATTTATTTATTTATTTATTTGTTTATCTTTTTTTCTCAGAGACTATTACGAGCAAACAAAGTCCAAAAAAACGTCCAAAAAAGCCATCTACGACACCAAGTCCAAAAATCGCCAATTTGGCACCAAATTCCAGGACAAATATTACATAAAAGTAGGAGATGGAAAGTTTTTAAAAAGCACCGATTTTACAAACAATAATAATAATAATGGTGATGAGAATAATCGATACTATCGATTAAAGGACGAAGTCAAAACCTGTTTGGGAGAGGATCGAAGATGACGTCACTCAGAGGAATAATTACAAGTAAGTAGAAAACATTATTATAGTGTATAGTAGTATATTTAATATTGATTTTGAAGTAGGCAGAGTTGCAGTAGGACTTTAGAGTATAAGGCAATGTTGTAAATAATTTAATTTTGCATAAACTTCCTTCATACTTCATTCAAATTGATCAAATAGTTTAAAAGTTACAAAAGATATAGTAAAAAAATGCACAATACTGTTTGAAGTCGCTCGTCTGGCAAAAAGGTGAATAAATTAAGAAATAATTTGTCCATAGCTCTCTGTCTATTTTCCATACATTTATTTTAAAATTAAATTCCAATTTAAACGAGATTATAGCACAGATTGGAAGATTTATGAGTATGTTGGCATTGGAAGAGGATTTACGCTTCGAATGGAACCTTGGCAAAAGATTTGCAGACAAATAAGTAGTTGTCATTGTCGCAAATTTATAATATACAATAATATAATCTTTAGATATGTAATCCATAACAAAATCTTCATGAATAACTTGCTCCAATCTTTTCTGTACACTTGTTTACTATATCTCTTGTAACTTCTAAACGGTTTGGCGAATATAAATGAAATATTCAACAAATTTGTTCAAAATTAAACGGTCTATAATATTTAGAGAGTGCATATTTAAAGTGCATTCTCAGTAAACTACGACAGTTCGATGGCAAATTAAGAATGCTATTAGAACCACTTTTTGAATCATTAAATTATCTTCAGGAGTTCTCAAGATATTGAATTTTTAAATATTTAGAAAGAAAGGATTTTCAAGGTCCGTAAAAATTTATATAATTTGCAAAGTGTAAAATTGCAATTTTATAAAAACTATTGCAGATATTTAGGTGATTCAAAAAGTTGCTCTAAAAGCATTTTTCATTTGCCATCGAATAGTAATACTGCCTACTTTATGATGTTACTTTTTCACTTCAAATGTGTATTTATATACAATTGCATGTTTAATAAAAAATATTTTGAAAGGTAAATTTATTAACCTGTGACAAAAAGTTTAAAGACTTTATTACTCAATTTTCACCAGATTAAAATAAAACGTTAGTCAATCGTTTACAAATTACAAAACATTCTTTACATTTACAACTTTGTATCCATTCCTATCTTGAAACTCCATCTTTATATTATCATTTAGCACAATGGTTAATTATAAATAATTAATTACAAAGAGGAAGAAAAAACGATTAATAGCGTCATCGGATTTCAGTGAAGCGTTGAAATAAATCTCTAGATGGACCAGATGAACTCAATTTTGTTATATATTGTCCATTGAATAGACGTTCAAAATGTACAATTTGGAAATGGGGTTTACTATCCGATGGCAAATTAAAAATGCTATTAGAACAACTTTTTGAATTATCAAAATATCAGCAACAGTTTTTATAAAATTGCATTTTTGCACTTTGCAAATTTTATAAGTTGTAAAAAATCAATATGGATCCTGCGAAATCAAAATGTTTAAAGATGCAATATCTCGAGAACGCTTTAAGATATTTCGGAAATTCAAAAAGTCGTTCATATAATACTTTCAATTTGCCATCGAACTATAATAATCACGATTTGTTATTTTAACTCGTTCACTAAGAATGCAACTTTAATTTGCGTGCTCAAATAGAAAACATTAAATAATACAATCGGTAATAAAAAAAAAACAGTTTCAACAATATATTAGTTGACTATAGAAATGCTATCAACTTGTATTGTTATTTATTTTATCAAATCCTTGAAATTTGTGTATGAAGAAAGTATATTCTTGATGAATTAGTGAATATTGGAAATCTAGAGTATTACTATTCGATGGCAAATTAAAAATGTTTCTAGAACAACTTTTTGAATCACCAAAATATCTGCAATAGTTTTTATAAAATTGCATTTTTACATTTTGCCAATTTTATAAGCTCACGCGTACGACTTTGAAAATCCTTGATCCTTTTGTGCATTTTTTTATTATATCGCTCAAAACTTTTAAACGGTTTGTACAATGTTAATAAAATATTCAACAAATTTACACAAAATGAAATTATGCATAACATTTTCTAACATCATAACATTCTACAACAACTCTATATATTTTAAAATCGCATCCAAAACATGTCTACTCATTACATTTAGTGTTTTTTTCCGGTGACTCAGCTTGAGGCGAATATGATGTAATTAAATTCGTTTCGCGTTGTTTGTTTGTTCTTTTATTATTTTTTATTATTATTATTAATGTTTAGAGTATGATTTAATTGTATATTTTTCACGCTGATGAACACACTGAAATTTTTATTTATTGTATTCGGTATTTTTCTGTTATTGTTTTTTAAAAATAATGGATTGTGATAAAAAATATATAAAACAAGTGTATCTAAGATCGAAATATTGGCTCATAAAATATAAATAAATTGTACTATAGAAAAAAAGGTTAAGTGCTTAATTCCTTCAGAAAAAGGATAATAAGTACAAGCTTTAACTAAGTGAGAAGTATATTTGTTTGTTATATCTGGTGTAGCTTTTGAACAATTCAACCGATTTGAATAAAATATTCTGCAAATTTATTTAAAATTAAATATACTTTGTCATTTTCTAATATCAT